CCCCCCCCCGGGGCCCGGGAATGGCTTTCGAGGAAACGCTGCGATTCCGCTGGAGCGCACCAGGGTTCAGGCCCGCTGGAAGGCTCTCCAGAGACTATTTCTTTTCATAACGGAAGCAGATGTGTTCGGTGTTCGGATCCAGCTCTCGCCGCAGGGCGGGGGCGAAGCGGAGAGAGCGGCGCGCTCGCCCCCCCTCCCCTCTGCTCTCGCGCCCCTTAGTGCCTGGCGAGCAGGGCTCGGCCTTCTGTGAATAAGGTGTGGCCTTTTCTAGAACGTCCTACAAATGAAGTCACTCCTGAATGGTCGTGTGTGTCGGGCTTTTTTCACTTAGCGCAAATGCGTTTGCGATGGATCCTGTTGTAGTACATTTCATCAGTAATTCCTTCCTTGTAATTGATGCGTGCTATTCTCCTATATAGACTGACCGCGGTTTATCCATTCAGTGGATGGGCCTGTCAGTCCTTCCCAGTCTGGGGCTACCTGCTCCGGAATAGAACCGCTATGGACGTTTGTGCCAAAGTCTTTTGAGTAGGCAATGTTTTCATTTATGGGGGTGGGGTACCTAGAAGTGCGATTTCTGTGTCCTGTGGTTAAAGTGTATGGAGGTCTTTATGAGCTATCCCGAACTTTTCCAAAGAGAAATCTGGAGAGAATTTAGCCAGGAGTTCCTGGTTGGACTTAGTTTTTAACCAAAATAATATGTGCATTTTAGCAAGGTTCTTGTAACACAGTATTTCGCAGTAAGCAGTAAATGAATCAATGACCGACCCCCTTTAACAATCAGATTTTTAAAATAAGTTGTTCGGCAGTTTACTTAAATCTATAGAGACATTCTTGAGTATAAAATACACATGCTTCAAAAACGTTCAAATCAGTTCATTTATATTTTTTCAGATTCCAGTATATCTTTAATACTTGCAAATTTGTTAGTATTAAAGGTATGAGGTACAATAATCAAAAACTCAGTTTTTAATATTTGGTTTACTTTAAAATGATAATTATTGTTCAGGAAATAATCCAACAAAAGCAAACTTTTTTAAAAGAATTATTTAATTGTATTTATCATCATTTTTAAAAATTTGCTATAGGGCATATACACTCACCAGAGAGAGACAGAGAGATAGCTGCAAGGTCTGGGACTCAAGCCATGATTAACCATGTGGGATTCCAGTGCCTTAACCACCACATCACCTGCCGGCCCCAAAAGCAAACATTCTAACAGCAAGTTTAGGGATATAAGAAATGTTGTGTTATGTAATTTTATTTCACTAAAAATATTCTTAATTTATCACTTTACTGTTTATCTCAACATTTATCAACTAGTTCTTTTTTGTTATAAATTGACAATTTATAATTACATAAATTTATGGAGCATAAAGTGATGCTATAATTTACAAATACATGTGAAATAATTTTTTGAGAGGTTTTTGCTATAGGGCACGTGCGCTCGCCAGACAGACAGAGACATAGAGACAGAAAGCAAGAAATCACCCCCAGGGGGGATGGCCACGCCGCAATCCCTTCTCCTCCATTCTCCTCTCGGGATCTTGGGCATGCACACACACACGCCCGGCGTGAGTTTTATGCCACCAGGTCCAGGACGCGAACCGCGGTCTACTACGTGGGAGTCCAGTGACATAGCCATTACGCTAACTGCTGGTTCCCCACATGTGGAATAATTAAATCAAACTAGTTAACATATCCATCATCCCAAATAGGTAAAGTTTTTGTGGCAAGAACATTTGAAATTTACTCTCAGCAATTTTGAAAGTACAACATGTTCTTTTTTCTCTTTTTTTAAAGAATTATATTATTTAACTTTATTTATTACTATTATTTTCCAGTTTGATCAGACAGAGAGAGAGAAAGTGAGAAAGCAAGCCACCAGGTCCAGGACTTGAACTGCAGTCAGCCCAGTGTGAGGCAAGCGTCTTTGACCACCACACCACCTGCCGGCCCCGAAAGTACAATATATTCTATTATTAATTACAGTCACCATGCTATGCAATGGAATTCAAAAAAAAAAAATTCCTGAGGTTTTGTACCCTGTGACCATTCTCTCTCCATTCCCCACCTCCCCCATATCAACTAATCCTAACCAAGATCCATAAACCTCTTGTACTAAGCAGAGGTGGGGAAGAAGAATGTGAGGGGAACAGGCCACGCTCCTGAGGCCCCCTGAGTCTCATGGGTGGTTATGGCAGTGGGAGTCAGTGTGAGACAAATCCTCTGCTGCTGTTGATGGCCACTTGAAGTGCTTCCTCCATTTTTTTCATTGTAGAATATTTAGGGAGATCCAGAATATTAAAACACGTCACTGATCTTGGGGAATCTCTTTCGCTGAAAATTTCAGGACAACGAAATACTATCCCCATTTCCTGTATGCCTCTTACATGCAGCCTATCACGTCCTGTAAGAAACACTAGAAAAGAATAGCAATTAGTTAAGATATTCCATAGAACAAAACAAAATTTTGGATAAAGAAAGTAATCATCCCATTTGATAAACATTTACTGAGTGTCCTTCTGCAGAGTGAACTACACGGGGCTGGGCAGCACATAGAAATCATGACATTTAATGGTCTTCGTCCCCACTAAGTTTATCAATAGTTGGAAGAAAATTACACACATGAAAAGATAACAGCAAGATACAGGAAGTTTAATTTAGCTCAGCTAGGAAGTCTGAATTAGGGCCTGATAGACCCAGGGCAGGGAGAGAAACCCCAGGCTGAGTGGTCAGAGAGACTTCACAGAAGTGACACCTGGCCAGTTCTCAAGGTGAGAGACAGGATGGGCTCTCAAGGCTGGGGGAGGAAGCCTAAGCAAAAGCCAGAGGTGAGGAGATGTAAGTGAAGTGACTGAATGCACAGATGGCTCGACCACCGGGCTGAAGCTAATGTTTCCCATTAAGAGAGAAAATTAGAAAGCTGGCTCTGTGGCCTAGTGGCTAAGGGGTCAGATCTCACATGGCCAACTGCAGTCTGAATCCTGGTCCTGGCAGCTTGCAGAAACACTCCAGGAGCATGTGCATGTGTGCCCTAAATCCCGACAGGACGGAGTAAGGGAGAAGGGGATTGTGGTGTGACCTGCCCTCTTGGGCAGTCTTTCTCCTCCTCCTCCTCTCTCTCTCTCCCCATTTCTCTCCCTGTCGCTGGTGAGTGCATGTGCCTTCTGGCAATAAGAAAACAGGAAAAATAAAATGAGAAATATAGTTTGGGCTTGAAGACAAATCGGCTGGATTTGTGGAAAAGTTGGAATAATTATCCAATGTCCTCAGTAAAACCAAAAATAGCTAGAAGAAATATGTGTATCTCTAGAAGAGCTGAAAGATGGGATAAGATGACAGTAGGTTCGTAAGTCTGTTCTAGAAGGCTCCCACCAAGAGCAGCTCCTATGCCAAGAGGCTGCAGTTTGTGATTCAAGAGCCTGGGCTTTGGAGTCAGCCTGCTGGATTCAAATTCTAGCTCTTGTGCCAGCCCATGGCCTGGTAGTTACGGTGGCTAGATCCCACAAGCCTGACCTCATAGTTCAAGTCCTGGACTCAGTGGCTTAAAAAACACACCAGGTGCATGTGTATGCATACCTAAATCCCAAAAGGAGGAAGAAGTGGAAGAGAAGAGATTGCAGCATGACCATTGCCCAAGAGGAAGGGGGTGCTTTCTCTCTCTCTCTCTCTCTCTCTCTCTCTCTCTGGCTCTCTCCAGCAAATACATGCACCTTCTGGTCAAAAAAAATAAAACAGCTCTTAGACTTATTAGCTGTCTGGATATGGACAAGCTACTAACAGGCCAAGCCTCTTTGTCCCGTCTGAGATGGGAGAAGGTAACAGTGCACACCACAGTGCTGCTACTCAGATAAAGGAAGGTCGCAGATGTGAGCGATCAGCCCAGCGCCCGCGCACGGGCACGTGATCAGTGCTGCTGCGTTGGTGGTATTATCATCAGTTGTCATTGTGTTCCTATGATTTCTTTCTTCCTTTTTTAATTTGCCAGAGGGTGTGTGTGTCTGCCAGAGAGAGAGAGGGAGAAGGAGAGGGAGGAAAGCAACCCTCAGTGAGACATGGCCACACTGCAATCCTTTCTCCTCCATTTCTCTAACCTGTCAGGATTTGGGACACGCATGTACACACATACCCAGTGTATTTTTAAAGCTACCAGGGGCAAGATTCAAACCACTTGTTTGGCCCTGTGAGATCCAGCTCCCTTAATCACCAGGCCATGGGTCAACTCACTGATAATATTATTTTTTTAAAGAATTATTTAATTTTATTTATCATTGCTATTATGTTTTAATTTGCTACAGGACATACATGCTCATAAGAGAGAGAGAGATGGAAAGAGAGAGAGAGAGAAAGCAAGCCACCAGGTCTGGGACTTGAACTGCAGTCAGCCATGTGGGAGTCCAGCACCTTAACCACCATGCCACCTGCTGGCCCAAAGTACTATTGTTTCTAAAATGGTATACTATTATATGCCGAAGATAGCTTACATCATGCTAATATCATAAGACTTAGATAATTAAAGAAAGAGGATATGAGATAAAAGGCTTGATTAGGAGCTAGCAGGAGTGAGAAAAGAACTCAGTCTAAACACTGGAGGTGGGATTAAGTCAGTGCAGAAAAGATAGTAAAATAGTAGTATCTGTTTTGTTTTGTTTTGTTTTGTTTTTAATGAGGAAACAGGCAATAGGCCTGACTAAGAAAAAGAATGCTGTCCTAGACAGCAAAGAACCTGGGTTCTAACCCTTGCTCTGCCATTAATACATGTGACCACCACTGAGAATGACTTCATAGCATACGTCTGTCTTTGTAAAAGATATAGATTCAGGACCAGCAGTTAGCATAATGGCTATGTCACTGGACTCCCATGTAGTTGACTGTGGTTCGAGTCCTGGACCCGTGGCTTAAATTCACGCCGGGCGTGTGTGCGTGCGTGCCCAAGATCCCAAGAGGAGAATGGAGAAGAAGAGACTGTGGTGTAGCCATCCCCCTGGGGGTGATTTCTCACTTTCTGTCTCTCTGGCAAGTGCACGCACCCTACAGCAAAGATATAGATTCAGGAGCTGGCAGGTGGCGTGATTAAGGTGCTTGGACTCCCACATGGCCAGCCACGGTTCAAGTCCTGGGTCTAGCAGTTCGGTTTCTTACTCTCCCCCCTCCCTCCGTCTTTCTCTGGTAAAATTAAAACATAAATAAATAAATAATAAAACATAAATAATAATAACAAATAAACAAATAAAAATATCTTTAGAAAAATAAAAGATATAGATTCATGTTACTATGATACTTACAAAGGAATTTTTTCTTTTCATCCAATTTGAGTTTGTGGAAAGCTTTCCAAAACATCAGGATAGTAGGGTGTGACCTGTGGTACTCCTGTTCATACACTGAATTCTTGAGAGAAAAGGGGAGAAAATGGTTTTTATTAAAAAAAAGAAAAATGTCCTGGGGGGAGGGAAATATGTGGAAGTTGGGAATACTGGGGAGACCTTAGATATCATCTACCTTTTCAAATTGTTCCCAGTCATAATCAGTATTTCCATTCATTGCTGTCATTAGTTCTTCTGGCTGGAAATGTCTAAGTATGCTCTTGTCACAGACTCTGTAAAATCCCCTCTGAAATTCCTCATAGACTTCTTTTACTGAGATGTTGAAGATGTAATCAAGGCACTTTGAAACATAGTCTCTCCTCGAGGAATAAAAACAAAAAAAAGCCAATGATGTACTTTACCCATAACTAAAGGAGTCTCTGCTTTGTCCTCTGTACCATTTCTATTGAGAAAGAAAAGTAAATTACTGTATAGCACAGAAGCCCGTATGAGACAGGACAGGGATAGAAAAACCTGGTCAGCGAGGAGGAAACTTAGCAAGTCTAAGCAGGAGGATTTGACTTCTTTTGCTCTCATTTTCCTCACTGCAGCAAGGAGTATTTGTTTAAAACATTTATCTGAAACATTTATGTCATCCTCCTACTTAAAAACTTTCAAGGGTTTCCCGTTGCCCTTTGGATAAATTCAAAACCCCTGCATGAGCTAACCCTTGCCAGACTCACAGCCTCTTCCTCCTCCTCATTGTCATGTCTGGACACAATGACCCTCGGCCCACCTGCCTTGAGGTCTCTCGTGGGTTCTTAGGCTACGAGAGTGGAGTGTGGCCTCTCTACCTGGCACCTTCTACCATCTCTCAGATTTCAATAGGAGCAGACTTTCTTGGGGTCGGTCCTTCTGCTCCTCTCCCTCTACCTTCTTACCACATATGTCACTGCGGAATTTACTTCTGCAAGGCCTGTCTTGCTCTACAGGATGCACTATCCACTAGACCATGAATTTCCGATGGCAGGGTGGCTGCTGGATGCATTTCCACCAGAGACATGACTTGAGCAGGCTTTGTGGGCTAGCCTGTTTGAATCAACTTCCCTCAGCCTTCCCTGTGACCTGTGGTGTGCTGGTAAAAGTTTATCAATTACCTCTCCGAACAGGAGACTTCATTTGCAGCATGTGCCAATTTCTGTGGTGTAAATATTCCCACCACAGCTGAGTTTAAATTACTAACACTTTAATGATAAACTCTTAACATTTTCGAGTATTTAACAACTAGCTCTCACAAGTTAATCCACATGGTTCCCACATACTACTACCTGTAACTCTACTCTTTTATTTATTTAAATCTTTTAGAGAAATTTTTGATATAGGGTGCGTGCAATCACCAGAGAGATAAAAAATGAGAAATCACTCCCCAATCATGGGAGAAGGCCACGCTGCAATCCCTTCTCCTCCATTCTCCCCTCAGGATCTTGAGCACGCATGCACACTCACCCAGCATGAGTTTTAAGCCACAGGTCCGGGACTTGAACTGCAGTTGACTATGTGAGAGTCCAGCAATGTAACTATTACACCATCTGCTGGTCCTGTCTTTATTTATTTTTTTATTGCCAGAGGATATTTGTGCTCACCAGAGAAAGAGAGAGAGAAAGAGAGCACCCCCCCACCTCCCAATATGGGACATGTTTACATCGCAATCTCTTCTCCATTTCTCCATCATGTCAGAATTTGGGGCATTCATGCACACGCACTTCATGTGATTTTCAAGCCATTGGGGCTGGGAGTCGAACCACAGTTAGTCATGTGAGATCCAGCTCCCAATGCACAGTGCTTAACCACTGCACCATGGGGCCAGCCTATCTAGTCTCTTAACTGGTTTTAATTTTCTTTGGAGTGCTTGTCCTTATCTGACATTATCTAAAATAATTTGAGCATTGTCTTTCTGCCATACTAGCAATTTAAGCTCCAGGATAGGGGTTAAAAAATATCTGTTAAGTAAATAAATACTAACGAGTGCTCTACGACACAAATATTTTATCCTGAACCTGTTTTTCTCTTTTCCTACATTATAACCTTGGTATTTTCCCTAAAAAATGAGGAGCAAAATGATCATTTGAGAAACTAAAATACATTTTTAAAGTATAGTAATACGGGACCAGCAGGGTATAATGGTTACGTCGCTGGACTCCCACGTAGTCAACTGTGGTTTGAGTCTGGACCTGGTGGCTTAAAACTCACACCAGGCACAAGAACATGCGTGCCAAAAATCCTGAGAGGAGAATGGAAGAGAAGGGATTGCAGCGTAGCCATCCCCCTTGGAGGGTGAGCTCTCGCTTTTTGTCTCTCTGTCTCTCTCTGTCTCTCTGGTGAGTGCATGCACCCTGTGGCAAAAATCTCTCTTAAAAATAAAAAGTACAGTTATATGACGTTTTATTTACATTCATTGCAGATAGTCTAGATCCCAGAACTTACTTGTTGTTTTGGTCCACAGGTATAGAGAGCCCATTTGGAATTAAATCAACATCATTTTTATCCCAATGTATCTGTAACCAAAATGTATTTAGGCACCAAAGATGAAAGTAGGTCAGAATAATCAACCATCCATAATACCATTACTGCCAATACATTTTCCCCTACTGAACGGGAAGTAACTGGGAGCTAAATAATTATTTACAGAGTTCAGCCTTCTAAGTTTATATAGAAGTTGAAAACCTATCCTAGTACATGCTGTTGACAGTTTTCAAGTCGCCTACCCTATTCTGTTTGGTTGTTTACATTACTCACATAAAATAACCACAGTATTGTCACTTTATTTGAGAATAGACAGGCATAAGGTATCAGACTGAGGGAAAAGTCTTACAGCACAAAAGTAAAATAACTTTCAAGAGAGGGATTCCATGTTTAAAAATACTATAAAAATTATTTTAAAAAAACAGATTAAAGCTAAACGATAATCTGACTTTCATTGGCGCTCACCGAAAAATATATGTCAAGTTCTTCTACAAGGCCGTCCTCTTCATCATTTAGAACTTCTTGCAAATTCCTAGTGAAGATATTGGTTTTAAAAATTATATTTGTTGATCTTCTAAAATTACAGAATTGGGGCCAGCAGGTATGTAATGGTTAAGGTGTTGGACTCCTGTGCGGTTGACTGTGGTTCAGGTCCTAGACCTGGCAGCTTGAAAGTCACCCAGGGCACACGTGCATGCAATGCCCAATGTCCTGAGAGGAGAATAGAGAACAGACTGTGACGCGGCCATTGCCCCTGGGGGTGGGGGTATGTGTGATTTCTCACTTTCTCTCCCTCTGTCTCTCCATCTCTCCAGCGAGTACATGTGCCCTACAGCAAAAAATCTCTCCTAAGTAAATAAATAAATAAAATTTAAGAATTAATAAATATCTGATTTAAAAAACTCCAACAACATAAAAATGTATAAAATATTTTTCTCCTCCACTTTTTCCACTCCCTCTTCCCAGAGTTAACTCCAATTGACAGCTTGGTTTGTAAGACCAGTGCTACCACATAGACACTGCTGTGTCTTTGTGGCAATACAAAAGGAGTCCCTTCCTCTCGGCCAGAGGTTCCTTTTTGTTTTAGAGAAATTTTTGTTGTAGGGCATGTGTGCTAGCCAAAAGACAGAGAGAGAGAGAGACATAGAAACAGAGAGAGAGAAAGTGAGAAATCACTCCCAGGGGGGGTGGCCACGCCGCAATCCCTTCTCCATTCTCCTCTCGGGAGCACACACACACATGCACCCAGCATGGGGTTTAAGCCGCCAGGGCCAGGACTCAAACCACAGTTGACTATATGGGAGTCCAGCAATGTAACCATGATGCCATCTGCTGGTCCCCTCAGCCAGGAGTTCTTAACCAGAGGTGATTTCACCCCCACAGGGCATTTGGCTAAGTCTGGAGACACCTTGGTTGTTGCAGTTGGTGGTGGGAGGGGCTTGTACTGGCATTCAGTGAGTAATGACCTCCCAATGCAACTACATATCCTACCACCCCCAGCACAGGCTCCCTACTACAGAATTAAACAGCCCAAATGCTCAATATTGCCCAGGCTGAGAAACCCTGAACTACTGTAAATCCAGCCTATGTTTCTTCTAGTATATGAGTAGAGTCCTCTCCTCCAATTTGTTGCCGTACTATATATATATATATATATGTTGTTGTTGCTAGAGGGCTCATGGAGAAAGACAGAGAAAGAGAGGGAAGTGAGAAGCACCCTCCAAGGGGGATGGTCATGCCGCAATTCCTTCCTCTCCATTTCTTCTTGCAAGATTTTGGACATGTGTACACATGCATCTAGTGTATTCTTCATGCTGCAGGGTCTAGGAATCTAACCGTGTTGTTGCCCGTGTGGGATTCAGCTGCCATAACCACCACACCACCAGCTGGCCCTATAGGAAAACTTTTTAACACTTGTCAATCTAACAATATATGTATAAAAATATCCTATTTTCACTTTCATTCCCTCATTTACTAGTGAGGTTGAGTATATTTTCACCTTTTGATTAGCCTTACACACACACACACCCACACCGTATGTATTCTATAACCATACATATATATTTTTTTTTTTTTGGAGAGATTTTCACTATAGGGCGTGTGCGCTCGCCAGACAGACAGAGAGAGACATAGAGACAGAAAGCGAGAAATCACCCCCCAGGGGGGATGGTCACGCCGCAATCCCTTCTCCTCCATTCTCCTCTCGGGATCTTGGGCATGCACGCACATGCGCCCGGCGTGAGTTTTAAGCCACCGGGTCCGGGACGCGAACTGCTGTCGACTACGTGGGAGTCCAGCGACATAGCCATTACACTAACTGCTGGTTCCCTATAACCATACATATTGAATGTACTGTTCAAAGCAACTCTTTCTACCTGGATAAAATCAAGAGCTGTTTCCAGTACTCATTAACAATTAGAAGAGCATTTGACTTCCGTTTTGAAGGTTTACTAAATCGTAAGTCATGCTAAAATTCAAATTTCTCTAAGAGGCATACCTTATTGAAATAGAATATTCACGTTTCTCTGTGTTACATTATTTCTGCCTAAACAACTGAGACTTACTATCACTAGATAGATATAGTCCTGAAAAAGCAATTATATTTACTTACTTCCCCAAAAGAGGACTGAGTTCTTTTAAATCTTCCAATGATGGCTGTTGGTCCAGAAGTTTCTTATACAGAGCCAGTGGGAAAGGAAGGTTGGCAACATTGAAATTGAATAAGGAGAGTCCACAGAGCATTCCAAAGAGGAAATATCTCTTCTTCTCAAATTTAGGCTGCAAAAGGAGAAGAAAGTCCCGAAGGCATTGTAAATAGTCAGTAATACAGGCTCAGCCTAGGTGGCAGGGTTGGTAGCGTACTGGACTGCCACACTGGAAGCCACATGGCCAACCCTGAGTTCAGAACTTAGGCCCAGCTGACTCGAAACATTGTGGGCCTGTGCTCAGGATCCTGACACGCCAGGGAGCTGGAGGAAGGGGATTATACCATGATCGGACCCTACTAAGGGTGCTTCTCTCTTTTACTCTCATCTCTCACTCACACACACGCACACACACATGAGAGAGTTCTCTCATGAATAAAATAAACAAACTTTAGGAAAAAAGTCAATAACATAAAGGATAATTAGATTCATTTTTTAAAAATATTTTGGTTTCCCTTTAATAAAAGTCACAAATTAGAAGGAAAATAGACTTCAGGAAAAAAAATGTAAGGTTTCCATGTAGGTTATAATACTGGGTGGTCTGGAAGATATAAAAAGAAATGCTCAGATAGCCTTATAAGCTAAGATTTGCATGATTTAGTTTTATGGTTTTTGCCTTCAAATTTATGAAAATGACACTGAGAAAAATGACACTGAGAAAGGCAGAGAGCTCTTTACACTTCCAGTGGGCACCAGGCACCTCAGCTGCGTGTCATGTGAGTGGTGTGCCCCTGTGGAATGTAGCACAGGCAGCTAGGTGAGCTCCAGGGACAGTGTAAGGGGGAGAGAGAGCGAGCAAGGCTGCAGACCGAGGAGGAGGATGGAAAAAGAAGGGGAGGAAGGAAGGAGTCCCGATGGAGCTGGCTTCACTTCTTTTGCTGCACTTTGTAGTCCTAGATAAGAGAAAGCTCTGGCTCCATCTGTCCAGGTCATCACTGAAGCCAAGCAGAGGGGAGGTCACTAGCCTGAAAATTCTAAGATTTCAATCCCAGGCCATCAGGTGGCATGGTTGTTAAGGTGCTGGACTCCCACATGGCTGACCCTGGTATGAGTCCTGGGACAGTTTGCTTTCTCACTTTCCCTCTCTGTCTCTCTGGTCAAATTAAAAAATAATAATAGGGGACTAACAGTTGGCATAATGGCTATGTCACTGAACTCCCATGTAGTTGACCGTGGTTCGAGTCCTGGACCTGGTGGCTCAAATGCACGCCAGGCACGTGTGTGTGCGTGCCCAAGATCCTGAGAGGAGAATGGAGGAGAAGGGATTGTGGTGTGACCCTTCCCCCTGGGGGGTGATTTCTCACTTTCTATCTCTCCATCTCTCTCTGTCTTTCTGGTGAGCACACGCACCCTATAGCAAAAACCTCTCCAAGTAATAATAATAATAATAATAATAATAAATAATAATTCTTTTAAAATAATAATAATAAATAATTCTAACAAAGAAAATTTAATTCTGACTTTGGTGTTAGCAGGTGCAAGACCTTGGGCCTCTCAAACAATATTCTGTGCCTCCAGCTACCTACCCTATTTTGCTTCATAGAGTAATTATGAGATAAGTGATAAAAATGCATTTATTTGAATTTTGAAAATAAGTTAAAAGTACAAAATAAGTAATTTCCAGAGGTGGCCTCCCTGACCTAATCAGTCTTTTTTCCTCATCATTTGTAATATTTCCTCTGGTTCTAGTTTATTTTGTCTCCTCACAAATTAGATTCTTTTTTTTTCCCCCTAAGGTCTCTGTGTTTCTATCCAGCAGTATAGCATTATGCTTAAATGTAAGAATTTGGGGGTCGGGGCTGGCCCCTCAGTGCAGCAGGTGAGTGCTGTGTATGGAAAGCTGGATCTCACATGGCCACCCGCAGTTCAAGTCCCAGCTCTGGTTGCTTGGATGAACATATCAGATGCATGTGTGTGTATGGTGTGTGCTCAGAGTCCTGACAGGATGGAGAAATGAGGGAGGGGACTGCAGCTGGCCATGCCACATTGGGTGGTACTTTCTCCCTCTTCCTTTCCCTCTCTCTCTCTCTCTCTCTCTCTCTCTCTCTCTGTGTGTGTGTGTGTGTGTGTGTGTCTTATGAGTGCACATGCACTCTGGCAGCTAAAAAAATTAAAAGAGTTTTGGAGTCAAACAGTTTCAAATTCATATCCAAGCTTGGTCATTTGCTGGTTGTATATCCTTGGGCAATTTATTAATCTCTCTGAATCTTGTTTTCTTCATCTGTAAAATGGAATAAGCCACCTGCCTCACTACGAGGTTACCATAAGGCTGTCTCTTCCTCCTCTCCATCCCCAACTTGTATCTCTTTCGTCCATTTTGTCCCCATCTTCCACCATCACCCTTAGGTCTCCATATTACATAGCACTTTCTCTAATCACTTCATTCCCACCTTGATTTATTTATGTCTTAGCATAGAATCCTTTAAATCCAGACCCAGTAGCTTGAAAATCACTCCGGGCATGTGTGCATGTGTGCCCAAAATCCTAGGAGGAGACTGGAGGAGAAGGCACTGTGGCATGGCCATCCCCCCAGAGGGTGATTTCTCATTTTTCCTCTCACCGTCTCTCTCTAATGAACACATGGGCCTCATAGCAAAACATCTTTTTTAAAAAAGAAAGGGATATGAATAGGGTCAGCCTGGGGCCTGGCAGTTACGGCAGCCAGATCCCACTCGGCCAACTGCACAATTTGAGTCCAGAACTGATAGCTTGAGAAACACACCTGGCACATGTGTGTGTACACTCAAAATCTCAAAAGGAGGGAGACACGGAGGTGAAGGGATTATGACATGCCCATGCCTCAAAAGGGGTGCTTTCTCCTGTCTCTGTCTCTCTGTCTCTCTCTCTGGTGGGTGCACATACCCAGTAGGGAAA